GGAGAACCATTTATCATGCTAATGGACATCAAAAGAAAGCTGGAGTAACCATACCTATATCAGACAAACTAGGTTTTAAACCAATGACTGTAACAAGAGATGAAGAAGGGCACTATATCATAATAAAGGGGTCTATCCAACGAGAAGATCTAACAGTTGTAAATATTTATTTATAAATAAAAAAAATCTTAAAAAAAAAAAGAAAACAAGATGGTCCAAAGCCTTTGGGAGGCAGCAAAAGTGGTCATAAGAGGGATGTGTATAGTAATACAGGCCTTCCTCAAGAAGCAAGAAAAATCCAAATATACAACCTAACTTTACACCTAAAGGAGCTAGAAAAAGAATGGCAAATGAAGTCTAAAGCCAGCAGAAGAAGGGAAATAATAAAGATTAGGGCAGAAATATTTGATATAGAAACAAACAAACAAAAAATACCCAGTAGAACAGATCAATGAAACTAGAAGCTGGTTCTTTGAAAGAATTAATAAAACTGATAAATCCGTAGCCAGACTTATCAAAATGAAAATAGAAAGGACCCAAAGAAATAAAATCACGAATGAGAGAGGAGAGATTACAACCAACACCACAAAAATACAAACAAGTGTTAAGAGAATATTATGAAAAACTTTATGCCAACAAATTGGGCATTCTGGAAGAAATGAATAAATTCCTAGAACCATATAAACGACCAAAACTGAAACAGGAAGAAATAGAAAATTTGAACAGACCCATAACCAGCAAAGAAATTGCATCAGTAATCAAAAATCTCCCCACAAACAAAAGTCCAGGGCCAGATGACTTCCCAGGGGAATTCTACCAAACATTTAAAGAATTATTACCTATTGGAAATGTAAGGAAAACTTCCACTTCTGAGCAGCTTCTATAAAGAACTTAACAAACTCAGGATGCCTGGGCAGTCAGGTGGGCAGCCGATTCTTGGTTTTGGCTTAGGTCATGGTCTCAGGATTGTGGATCAAGCCCCAAGTTGGGCTCTGCACTCAGCATGGAGTCTGCTTGGGTTCTTTCTCCCTCTGCCACTCCCCCCACCCTGCATGCTCTCCCTCTCTCTTTTTCTCTCTCTCTCAAATAGATGAATAAATCTTTAAAAAAAGAACTTATCAAACTCAACACCCAAAAACCAAATAATCCAGTTAAGAAATTCCAGAAGGCTGGGCGCCTGGGTGGCTCAGTTGGTTAAGCAACTGCCTTCGGCTCAGGTCATGATCCTGGAGTCCCGGGATCGAGTCCCATATCGGGCTCCTTGCTCAGCAGGGGGTCTGCTTCTCCCTCTGACCC